TTTTCTTAACCCCCCCCCCCCCCCCCCAAGAGCTTGAGCACCATTTAGTATCAGACAGGAAACAAAGTGAATAGAAATCTCCTCTATTAGGTACACAGGTGGCATTTAAAATTTGCCAGGATAACATATCAAAGGGTCTATGCTCCGTCTGATGTGTGCACACAAAGGAAGGATATACAGTGTGAAGTTTATGCGTCTGTTTTATACCCCTTGGATCTCTAGCTACATTGATCTTCCAGTACAGTTGTTTTTTGGAGCCTTTTATAACCAGGTTATTTCATCTGCTCTTTGCTTCTTTTATTGCCATGGATACTCACCACCTAACACATGACTCTCCTTATTGGTTTTATACTAACGAGTAGAGTAATGGTTTTATTCCTATTTCCACAAATAGGATACTTTTAATGGTTTTCTCCCTGTTGTTCCTGCATTATTATCTAGATATGACTATTTGGCATGTACGTAGTTTCACGTTAGCTAGCAACCCTCAATCCAGGCTGCAAATCTTGACGCATGCTGCCTTAGAATGGCTATGCCCCAATCTGTAGTACATGCACAGTATAGCATGCCACAAATGATATTATACAGGAATAATAACAGTTTCCCCAGTGTTTATAATATAAAAACACTAAATAATGCATCATTACTGTACATTTCATGTTTTATGATTGCACCAATATACTGCGATTGTTACAAACATTTTGTGGTCAATTTTGATACCATAGTATCCGTTTATTCGCAGCATGCTCAGTACTGTTTATCTTGGCATGTTTTAACAAGATTGATGATTTTTCTTCATTGTGCTACACCATTTAGCCCTCGTTCACACCTGAATGTCAATGTTTTGTAGCGCGTTCTACGCTCGACGAACGCTCTACAAAACGCTCAAAAATATAAATCTCATTGTATTCAATGGTCTCGTTCCCACCTTGGCGTATTTCCGCCCGTCCCTAACGCGCTACAAAACGGCCCACGCCTGAAAAGGTACATGTACTACTTTGGGCCGTTTTGTTGCGCGTTTCCATTGGGATACAGCCAAGTAGCCTTCGGAAACGCGCAACTTTTTTACCGCGAATCGCGGTAAAAAACGCGTGACAGACTCGCATATGCAATACGCCTAGGTGTGAACGAGACCTTAAGGAGTATCCTCACACTTGTGCACTCATCCCATGAGCATGACACAGCACCCTTGAACAGTCATCTTTAAACAAACATATTCCTATGTGACCTGTAGCTGCAAGGTTGAGCCTGGCTGTTACTTTCAAAGTATTGCAAGACCATGTGATGGACCGGCCCAGGGACTGTGCGTCCAGTGTATAGGACTGTGGGCTTTGTTTGACTGATTGCCTCCAACTAACTGCCCGCTGTCACATGTACAGTCAAATCTGTAAAACTGATTCTGTATACTGGGTGTTAAACGGCCAGCCTTTAGATATCAGATATGTCATTACTACTCATCAATATTAAGGATATTAGTTTTAGAGGCTCTGTCAGGGAAAACAAAATGAAAAACTGCAGCAGGTATATAGTGCAGGACCCCCAAGGTACCGGCACAAACCCGCAGCAACCTTCCTGCCATGGATAATTCTTGGTCCGTTCTGACAGACAAAGCTTAGTACTTCCTAATGATACAACTGTTTGCCTGCTCCTTCCTACCTCCTCCAACAGTAATATGTGAGGATGGTGCTTAGCTGCAAGCTTGGAAAGTACCTGGAAAAATTGGAACTTTGTCTGTCATAACAGCTCGAGATTTGGCCATGACAGGAAGGTTAGACAATGTTGCCATTTGCCGGCATGCTGTAGCGGCCTACATGTTGTGCAGCAGTTTTTCCCCACTGTTCCCCATAACGGAAACTCCTTAAAATGTAATGGCTTAACCAGCCTAAAACATCTAGAAATTCCACTCGAGTCAATCACAGGTGTAGCTTGTAGTTCAACAGCTGGACAGTCACACACTGCCTGAGAAAATGCTTAGCCCATTCACATCGGTCTGGAGAACAGCATCTGTTACTTCTAGGCTGCCCAAATCAGCCTCATTTCCCTTTCATCAAAGCATCTCACTACACCATCTACCAAGAGCAAAGTCTTGTGAATTACAGCCCTGTTTTGCTCCCTTTGTTTTTATTTTTAAAATGAAGCAGATTTGCCTGGTTAATCTGCCCGTTCCCCGATTTCTCTGAGCCGCAAAACCCTTGGCACAGCGACGTGGCGTGTAACTAATATGCTTGGAGAATTGACTACACGATCTGGACATTTTTCAGCAGAGCTCAGAAGCCGGAAGTGTAGACTCACATGCACAGATGTTGTGGACTAAGTCAGCAGCTGCACAGACTCTGCGGAGATGAAAAGGGTGGAAAATGACCTAAATGGCTCAAGGAGGATCTGGAAGCTTGGATTAGATGGCAAGTGCTGGGGACTCTGCACCCGCCCCCCCACCACTGCAGCCTGTACGGTTGGGTCATGCCAGACATGGATGTACTGCCGGATTTTACACTGCATGTTCACAAACAGCTTCAATCCCTTCAGCATCGGCACCTATAGAAGATAATGGGGAAAAAGTTACAATGTACAATAAATATAAAGCATTTCCAGTGAATAAAAAAACATTTAAACCTATGCAGCATTATTACTAGATTTCAGGGAATCTGAACCAAACACTATACAAAAATATGACATCGGTGTGGCCATATAGAGTGCAGCAACAGTTAATGTTCTGTTAGCTGCCATGTTTGATAAATGGAAGAATCAAAATGACAATTGTCAGTTTAAACCTATCCATTCACCAGGAAGCAGTGAGATCAAACTGATGCTGCTTAATGAATAGGCTGCAGTCACATAAATATTAGTATGGCCAGCAAAATTGCCGCTTCCCTACGTGCAAATGACAGGTGCCGTGTAATTATAGGTTGTCCTGACTTGCTATACTATAAGTAGCATATTTTATAGGCGCTGCACATACTTAAAGGGATTTATTGTATACAGATGTCATTTTTGATGCCACTGATATCTTTCCTTCCATTATTCATGTTTGTCCAAACCAGCAGCACAACCTACAATGTTATGGTATAAGAAAAGGGTTTCTGTGCTAAATTTACAGCCAAGTCTTATAACTCTGGCTTCCCCAACTAAATATCCACCCAAAAGTGATCTCTATACTCCGCCGACTGCCACGTGACCTGGGACACCAGTACAGAAGAGACCCTGTGGCAAGTATATAGGGCTGTGTTTAGAACATTATAACAAGCTAGTACATATTTTGGATCAGTTTGCATTGTGATGGTGTATCAGACTGGACCTTTAAAGCAAGGATGGACAGATTAATATAGAATTTAGGAGCCAGCGGCATTGACAACAGTTTGAGAAAACCTCAAAAGGTTAGCTCCAGCTATTTTTTAAGGAGCATTGGCTACCTGCATCCTGGGATGCTTTAAAGCACTGCTAGACCAAAAGTATATGTTGCAGCTTGGCAGTCCTTAGAAGAGGTTCCTGCATTCATTTTATTTTTGCCCTTTATTTTCATTTGGTAATCCGGCGAATAACACGCTTCTTGTCATTTCACTGCGTTTATGAAAGGAGCCATGGTTGCCACCCAGGCACTGCAAACATGTCCATCTCCATTACATGGCAGGTGGGGAGATTAGGAGTTTATTGAAGATGGAAAACATTGTTTTTGCAGTCTTTTTAGCTTATAGAAAGTGACAAGGACACTACATTTCTGGCAAAAAGAACAAAAAACACTTTTTTCTAAAAATATTCTTAAAACACTCATAGTGACCTGTAAGCAGATCAAGAAGAACCACTGGTTCAAATACGATCTAAACATCTACTCTGCACTATTTACATATATTCTGCACGGAGAAGGATTCCTGGATTTGTTTTCTTCCAAATTAAATCCTTAAAATCAATGTAAATCTGCTAAAAATATGTGCTATAAAAACAAAACAAAAAGGGGTTTAATTTGATGGGATAGACATCATATAAAAATGGTTATTTGGTACAAAACAGTAACCTGAAACCAATTTTCCTAAATGAGGGGTTTGGAGCGAGTTAAAGCTCAACTACAGTCAACATTTTTTCTTTCGTTTTGCAGAGAGCAGTAACGGGTTAGAGCCTCTATTGCGTTTTATTGCCATTTCTATCCGTTTTTGGAAGACTTGCCCTCTCTTCCCATCAGAACAGGAAATGATGGGAAATCTCTCAGACAAAAAGCACATTTTTGGAATGAGAAAGGGTTAGAAACTCTGGCAAGGTTTCCATTGCTGAAAAAGCCTTGCAGTCCAGGTGACAATCATTCCTCCCATTTTTTTTTTTTTTTACAGGGCTTCACAGGGACAGAAAGTGAGGCAAACTCTGCCTAATGAGGATACAAACAAAAATAACCTGTTACGCCTGATTAAGGGACCCTGCGCGGTCCTGAAAGCGCTTGTTTTCATTTGACAACTGTTCAATAAATGAACTTTTGGTGATCCCAAAAGGATTTTCGGTGTGCTGGTGACATTCTTCTCGACAAATAAAACCCTACACAAAATGTCATTCTTCTCCACTCGCTCCAAAATACAAAAATAATTTGTGAGCACTGAGGTAAAAATCACTTACCCTGGTCATGATGAGGTGGGTGATACAAGTGCATCATTGCTGTGTTTTCTCTGTGTGTGTTTAATCTAGCATTGACAAGTCTGGCACCCTCTGCCCACATGGGCTGAGTTCTTTCACAGTGCTGAACACCAAGGTTGGTGCAGAAGTGGCGGGTACTGTACAGAGGAGGTTGCACTGGTGCAGAGGATCGTTTCTTCCGGTGAGTTCTACTTAAAGGTTCAGCCCTGTGGTTCCTTAAAGAAGTTGAGGCTTCAGGTTCATTTGGCTCATGTGTTTGTGAAGCAGACAGTGGTGAGGACTGGTTGTATCTGGTGGCATCTCTATTAGTCCTTGATTCAAGGCAATGTCTAGATGGTAGAGTTCTGGGTTCTTTGCGTGTTAAAAGAGATCTCGACTCTCCGCTATTAGATGTCCCGTGCTCCCTCTGTCCCCCCAAGTCCGCCCTGGCCTCCCCTCTAGAAGGCCGAGGCCTTCTTTTGGTTCTGTGGGGGTGGGACACATTGGAATGATGACGTCTGTAGTGGTGATGTCGATGCTGGTGATAATGAACATGACTGGCAAAAGAATTCTGTGTTGGCACAACAGTGGTGAATCCTGGTAGGTCATTCTGAGGTAGAAGAATAGAGGCAAGTGCTGGAGGGGGAGAATCCCCTGGGTTGCTCTGAGAGCTGTGGCAAGAAGAGGAGGAGGACCCTTGTAGGCAACGTAGACTGACATCTGTACAGTTCTCACTGGAGGACCCATTAAATGGACCTGAGCTGCTGTCACTGCCTGGGTCATCTGGTAAATATCCACTGGACACCTGAGAATGTGACACTTCCCTGGGGCCCTCTGATGCCCAACGAGGACGAGGCACTGCTGATTCCCAGGGTTGTACAGAGCCAAGAAAATAGGGTGTGCGGGACACAAATATTCTATTATTCATTGGAGGATACACCGAAGATGTAGTGTGGGGCTGTAGAGAATGCTGCAAATGAGCAGCACCTGGGTATTGTCTCCAAAACTGTGGCTGCGCAGAAGGACGCAACTGAGCTGGGCGTGAAGGTGTGTTCACTTCTGCTGGAAGAAAACACAAAGAAAATTACCCTGAGAAATGTATAAGAGATATAGATAGAATATATATACATATATAAAATGAAATATATATGTCTTCCAAATTCAGATGATCTATAGATGCTGAATGGTCGGAGGGAGATTTCCTCTGACCGGCAGTGCTGTGAGGGAGCATGGAGCCGGCCTCCAGGCCAATCAGGAAGCTGGGAGGCACATGACCCCCTTCCTAATTGGTTAGGAAGCCAGCTTCACGCTGCCCAATCGACACAGCGAGGCAGCCTGGCTTCGATACTGAAAAACATGTACATCCATAATTCATACCATTATTTTGTGATTTAAATGCAATCCTTGTGTACCTAAATCAATAACTGGTTTCATCCAGACACAATTGTACAGTTTGTTCAAAATACAATGCAAGTAAAAAAATATTTTCATGAATTTAAATTTTCATATTAAAAAAAAACAAAAACCCCAGAAGAACGGCAAAGTCAATATTTTAATCACTTGGAGCCAATATGCGAATTTAAACATGTAGGTTTCTAATTTGCACACAAATACCAAAACCATTTCTTTGTTAAATAAAATCACAAAGCAAAACCAAGATGAACATGCCAAATTCCAGGAGGCATGCCTGTCATCAGATAACTGACATTTTGACTGGGTTAAACAGCAATCATGCAGAAGACTTGGTATAAATGACCACAACAGTGTCTTACACCACCACTTGATGAGGTAAGAGCTGTCCTGGTCAAGCTGGAAAATGTTAGCAATTGCTGTACTGTCTGCGTACTTCCTGCGGGGATAGGCAAAATGTTATACACTGAGAACATTGAGTTACTTTGACTGGACAGCTTTGTTGTGTAAAGTTCAGATTAGAAGTCAGGTTATGGTAGTAAGAACCTAGCTGATTGTACATGTAGGGATGGGGTAAGGGAAAACCTGTTTCCTCATTAAAAGCCACCATCTGATTACTATGTTCTTCTATTACTCTTCGGACATGGAGACATTTAAAAAGGGAATCATTTGTTTTTTTTAAACTTACTCCAACTAGAATTTATAATTTTTAAATGTTAAACTGGAACTATAGGCAAAATAAAAATCACATGATGCAGACTGTCTGAAGAAGCACCCTTCTGTAACAGTTTCATTACCTGTTGATCCTGACGTGGATCCTTTATTTTTCCTCCAACTGCAACACCCCAAGTCGTTCAGCAAAAGGGGCAGTTACATTTACAGCACCTCTCTGTCTCAGCTGCTAAATGGTCAAAGCAGCTGTCAATTACCCAGCAAGGGACATTGACTGTAGCAGATTGGATGAAAGCACAGGGAGACCGCATCCTGCGGAAGTAGGAGCTGATGGCAGAAGTGGGAGAGGGAGAGACAGAGAGGAGTTGATACATTGGGGTGGGGGCGGCACGAGAGAAGGGTGATAGAGAGGGAGAGGCGCAAGAGAAAAACGAGACACATAAAAGGCGAGAAGAAAATGAAGCAAGACAGAAAGGCGAGAGAGACCGGAAGAAAAGCGTGCAGAAACGGCCAGGATCAACAGATTTACGAAACCTTTCCTCACACCACTATAAAAAGAACCTTGCACAATCATATTTACACAAGTTTAATATTTGGGTTTATATACACTTCAAGTTCCACATTGTGCGCCAAGATTAAAATAACACAAAGGCTTACTTACCTAGGATGTTAAACATACACAGGGGGCAGGTGTGATTCTGCCTCAACCAGGTATCAACACACTCCAGGTGATACTCATGACAGCAGGGCAATATCCTCAAGTCCTAAAGAAAATGAAAAAAATATTGGGACCAAAAATGGGCAAAGTAGGAAAAATGCTACTAAATATTTGTACTATATTATATACAGCTAGTTACGTCACATTAGCATCTTCATGTTTAAAAAGCACATGTCAAACGAACAATATTTAAGTGGGATACTGGACAAGTGAAAGGCATCCGTAGAGATTACACATCCAGACTATTGCTAGCTGGTTGGCAAAGATGTCTTAATATGGTCATTGGCATATCATACCGACCCTCCACCATGCTGCAGAGGGAACTATTTCATCACAGACAGTGGTTGGAACCATTATGTTCTTTCTTTAGTAAGAGAGCTGGGGTCTTAGTAAGTTCCCACAGGAAAACTATATGGGTCAGCTAGTTACCTGTCCATCTGAGAATTCCTCTAGACATACAGCACACACAGGCACAGAACTGCTGGTGCTTGCAGTTTCCAGTCTGCCACCATTTGCACGCCAATCTCTTGACCCTCGAGGCTGGTATTTTCTGGTACCAAGCCGGCTTATGGCTAGTGAAGTCTGCTGCTGCAAAGAGTCCTGGAAGAAAAAGCAAAGTACTCATATACCCTATGATGTCATACAAACCACATAGGACATTACAGTTGTTTGCAGTTACTAATCTGTTGCTTCTATTCTTATTTTCTCCTCAACTCCCTGTAACGAATGTTTCCCTATTAAAATCTGTGTGTTTTAAAAAAATGACTAAATTAACACGAAGTTCTGCAGCAGTTCTGAGGTTAAAGTGTGTTTCCACTTTTGCAGCCAAATTAGGATAACACCTACTTTTCTGGCAGTTGCTAAGCAGATGTGCAGGACTGTCTGCCCTAACAAAAAGGTTAAAGATTTCAGGACCTTGTATGTTAATGCACGGCCTCTCAGTTTTGGCCCCAAGTTTGTCCCTTATCTCTATACTGCCATATTTTCAAAGCAGTAGAAGCTGCCCATAGAGTCCTATGAATAATTATGCTCCAAAGAAAGAGCCAAAAAGGTACGAAGTATTTTTTCAAAAACTATTATTTTTAGGTGGGGGGGGGGGGCCCACATTTGCCTGCAAAAATGCAAATACATTTTAAATTTCTTCACTAAAGAAGAAGTGGAAGAAAAAGAACAGAGGAAAGAGGCAGATGGTCCCAATAAGCGAACTACAATGTTAACTCTTAATCGGAAACTTTTTGCAATCTGTCCATACACCGACAAATAATATATCTTTTAATTTAGCTTTGCCTGAAAAGTATTATTCAGTGGGAATCAAACACGTTTACAAATCATGGGGACTACCACTGTTAACCTCCTCACTGTTCTAAACCATTGGATTCAATATGTCCCACGTCATGAAAAATGATCTGCTTACTTGTGCTGGGTCAGTGGTCAAAAGTATTGAGTCAAATGAGTCAGTGCGAGTATCTCAGAAGGAGAGGTCAGCAATGGTGGCCTCCACGTTTCCTATAAATGAAGTGTACCGTTTTCAAACATAAGCTTTACCTGTGCTGGGGGCTGCTTGCAGCGCAACCGGATGGCAGAACATAAGACAATCACTGAGACCGTGCCCACCACTGTGACCAGGATCCAGATGTCATGGTCAAGCTGTAAGAAGAAAAACAGGATTTTAAAAGCTCATACTTTTTAAAGGAAGCTATTTCCAATTAACCATCTAGTTCCCACCAACCCCCCAGTATAATTGCAAACCCGGCCTCACCCACTTGGGCTGCTCCAGAACCTCAATCACCACCCAAGCCTCTGTGTTGTTGTGCACAAGGTTCATCAACCGCTCGGCATCATGAGCCCGTAATAGTACCACAGGTTGACTTAATCCAGCTGGCTGGTGAAGCTAAAAGTAAAGCAAACAAAGAAGATAATATTTCCAAACATCTTGATCTAAGACACTGTAGGGTTTGAGTGTGGGATGGAGTAGGGGATCATACAAAGCTTAAGGGTCAACTGGCTGAAGAATAACGTATGTGGTACCAGGGGTGTGGAATTCCTATCGCCGGACACATGCAATTTCGGGCGAATAGTTTATATGTACATTTAGCCCGGCTCCGGACAAGCAGAGCTGAATGCACATTCTGCATGTGCTTTGTGATTGCCGCAGCCATTCCATGGTGGTAGCCAGGCAGCAGAATTCTCTCTCTCACACACACACACACACACTAAAAGGGTAAGTTCATTTTCCCAGGTAATATGGAAAAATAAAAATTACCCGATTAAATCTGGCCCCGTCTCTCCCAAACTGCCACCCCCTGGCTATACTTACCTTTCGGTGAACAATCCCTCCCCTCCGCCAGTATGGGTGTACTATCTGTCCCCCGTACTGCTGTCTAGTGCAGTCCTCCCCTATGCATTTTGAATTTCGCTCGCAAATTGCAAGCACTCATTAGTCAACGTGGTCAGATGACTGCGCTGACCAGTGAGAAGCACTATTTAGCACAGTCAAATATGTTTTGATTAGGGGTGCACCGATACTAGTATCAGTGCCGATATCGAGTATTTGGGTGAGTACTTGTACTCACCCAAATGCCCCGATACCTTCCCTGATATTGGAACTTACGTCGAGATGAAAATTTCCTCTGACTTGTAGTGTCATAGGGGAACATGGAGCCAGCTTCCCGTGCAATCAGGAAGCCGTGACGTAAGTAATGAACTGCCTCCTGGTTTTCTGATTGGCTGGAAAGCCGGCTTCCTGGCCAATCAGCATCGATCCAGCTTCAAGGTCAATCGGGTCATTACTCGCCGCCCGGCTTCCTGATTGGCCAGGAAGCAGATTTCCCGGCCAATCACAATCAAGCAGGCCAAACAACATGGAGCAGGCTTCCGTGGCAATCAGGAAACCGGGCGGGATGTCATTACCCGCTGCCCGGCTTCCTAAATACGAGGGAAGCCTGCTCTATGTCAGCGGAAGCACCGGTATTGGTTTTCAGTGTCCGCGAGATCCGAAAGCAAAATATGGGTACTCGATACTGAAAAACGGGTATTGGTGCATCCATATTTTTTTGTATTAGGACCAGTAGATTGTCATCAAGGACAAGTAGATTTGGCCCCCGCTTTAGTCCTTGGACAAGTAGTTTTTTTTTTAAAATTTCCACACACCTGGGTACTTTCATTACGGTGTGTTATTTACTAATTTTAACAACTCAGAATGTTGTTTGGAGATCACTAAAGAGATTTTTAGCATGGATCAGATGAATTTACCACATGCATTATTTTTTCTTAATTATCAGGTTTTGTGGTATTTGGCACATAGCAATCCATTCACAAATATTACTGCATGAATTTCTGCCTGTTAAATACGGCTAACCTCTGTCAATTAATAAGGAATTAATGCCAACAGCCGTTCAATAAAGCACACCTATGTACGATATTTTCTTATGTGAATTGATTATGTAGCATGATAAAAAAATAAATGCAGTTATAACTTGTACACCTTTGTAATCCTTTATTGACCCCTTATATGAGTTTTCTAGAATAGCAAGGATAAATGACGACCACGCTTGGTGCTGCTTTCATATCCAAGCCAGAGTTATGGGGCGATATTAGAAGGCAATACCTCTACAAATCATCTGCAATGTCCCCTTAACACCACATAACTTACAAATAAATGCAGTTATAACTCAAACACCTTCGTAATCCCTTATTGCATTTATTTGTAAGTTATGTGGTGTTAAGGGGACATTGCAGACGATTTGTAGAGGTATTGCCTTCCAATATCACCCCTCGACTGCGTTAGTTTGTGTGACTCAGAAGCACAAGACAGCAGACAGGTGGCAATGATGTGGGTGCAGATGATGCCGAGCTGATAAATCAACCAAGACCACATCACATTATGGGTGCCCACCCATTAAACTTCTAACGCCCCCTTTGGTCAATGTCTCTGGCTACTCCTGACTCAACTGCATTGGAAAAAATAATAATGTGGTATTGGATTTTAGTAAGCTGTCACAGTATCTTTTTTCTTGGACATTTAGACTCAAGGTAATGTTTTACATACGCATAGTAAAAGGTGACGGGTAAACTAGAAGAATTTATAACTGAACAAAGCCGTGGCATAATGAAGAAACACAAAGAAGTACAACAAGATAGTATACGGATTAAATGACACCAATTATACCTGGTCTGCAGCTCCCTCATCATCAGTAATATCAAAGAGTATAGCGCGAGAGCCTCTCTCCCCTGCAAGGCGGACCTGAAACAAGAGACGAGGGATTACTGCAGGGCAGATACTACCATGCAGACTGAAAACAAAAGAACTGGGGACGAAAAAGAAAAAAAAATGTTTGGTATTTGCACATCCTGAATAAAAAAAAGTTCCAACAGATTATCAATCTTTATAGATGTTCACATTCACATGACCTACATTTTAAGTGCTTTATACTTCCTTAAAAACTCCACCTAGCCACCCCCCCATGTAATCTTATGGAGGGGGCTGTAGGAGGTTATGTTTACTCTAATTAACCCTGTCTGTACTGTGCTGGCAGATTCCATAAGCTGTAAACTAGATTTAATCAACGTTTGTCCTAACAAAGGGTTAAAGACTTTGATGCATTGTATATTATTAAGCGGTAGGCCTGCAACCAACTAATCGATTAATCGATAAAAATAGTCAACTATTCTCATCGATTAGTTGGTTGGATCCCCTAGCTCTCTCCTTCATGCTGGGGGAGGGCACAGCAAGCAGTGGGTGGGTGCAATAGCCAGCCTGCTATTGCAATTTGAAATGGCCAATAGCAGGCTGGCTATTGCACACGCCCACTACTTGCTGTATTAACATTCAGCTGCCGTCTGAGGAATCTTGCCACTGGAAGCTATTCAAGCGCCATGTGCTTACAATATAATTATTAAAAAAGAAATGATAACTGGGAGGGGAGTCAGTTTCATTTTCGGCCTGTCAAATTCCGCTGCGGGAAATACGTTGCAGTGCCATTCATTTCAATGGTACCCCAAACTCTCCTCCCACCCACAGAGTGAGTGCCCCCACTCGTACTCACGGTGCAAAGCATTCCAGTGTATTGCGATAGCAAAAACATTGTGCATGCAGTTTTATTCTGAAGTAAACTTTATGTTTGTAAAACACTGCATTTGTGTATTTTATTTTAAATTAAGGCTGGCAGTAGATTTTTTTTTTTTTTATCCGATTAAATCGAAAAAATACATCGGCCAGCTAATCGATTATGAAAATAATCATTAGTTGCAGCCCTAATAAGAGGACACTCTGTCCCTCAGTTTGTCTCTCTACATCAACTTTCAAACTGTTCAGGAGTAGCCTGGAATCTGCAAAAAGGCTTCCACCAAACGGCTAAAAGGAAAGAAATATATTTTTCGGTATGCTTTGTGAATGGGAACACAAATATATAGTGGGGTTTTCTCAAATTTGGCTAAAAAGTAGAACTACACTAAGTTCATGATACATTGGCCAATGAGCCCAATTTCTTAACTCCAGGTATGAACTGCAACCACTTCATACACTGTAAAATCTGAAAATGAAATGGTCATGTTTCAAAAAAAAAAAAAAAAAAAAGGGAAGGAGGAGAAAAATTTCAAGACGACTTACCATTTACTGCATGAAAATCAGCTAAATTCTAATATTTACTGGAATGTTTCTGGGTGACACGTCACATAATGAAGCCCAACTCAAACTCGCAGGTTATAAAAGCACTACGAAGAAAACTTTGTTCCTTTACCACCATCTGCCCACTGCATTACAGTGCTTCAGGTGCAAGGTCAGAGGTCAGCAGGGGGCTGCTTGATCAAAAGCAAGACAGAAAAGCACCTGGAGACAAGTTACAAAGCTGTGTACACCAGCACATTTCCTTATGGTGATTTTACAAAATTTACAATCCCTGGCGCACTGTAGTAGCTGGAATACTCTTTAGCCCCGTGAATGCACATTAACAAGTATCTATAAAACTTGGCTGTTCATTTTGTACACATTTGTAATATGCATACTTAAATCACAACTTCAATGATGTGTTTAAAAGAAAGGGCCAGTTTTAAAAAAAAAAAAAAAAAAAAGGGAAGGAGGATCAAAATTTCAAGACGACTTACCATTTACTGCATGAAAATCAGCTAAATTCTAATATTTACTGGAATGTTTCTGGGTGACACGTCACATAATGAAGCCCAACTCAAACTCGCAGGTTATAAAAGCACTACGAAGAAAACTTTGTTCCTTTACCACCATCTGCCCACTGCATTACAGTGCTTCAGGTGCAAGGTCAGAGGTCAGCAGGGGGCTGCTTGATCAAAAGCAAGACAGAAAAGCACCTGGAGACAAGTTACAAAGCTGTGTACACCAGCACATTTCCTTATGGTGATTTTACAAAATTTACAATCCCTGGCGCACTGTAGTAGCTGGAATACTCTTTAGCCCCGTGAATGCACATTAACAAGTATCTATAAAACTTGGCTGTTCATTTTGTACACATTTGTAATATGCATACTTAAATCACAACTTCAATGATGTGTTCAATTATAGAGCTACAGACTTAAGATAGTAAATTACCTTGTTTGCCAGAGATAAACAGGGCTGGGGAGAACGCTCTGGGCTCTCCAGTTTGACAATTGAGACGAATGCGAATTTTGGTGGATCCTCATCACTGGCATTGCACAGAGAAAGCGGGTGAAACTGCAAAAGACAAACATCATGAGTTACATCAAAGCAGAATCCTTTATCTTAGCAGTAGTTCTGTAACCAGGCTTGACATTAAATTATTTACATATTCATCAAAAACAAGATATAAAACAAGCATACTGACCTCTGTAGCTGCAGGCACTGAGAAGCAATTCATGCTCATAGCTCACACCAGAAGCATTGAAGTCACTCAAGTTGTTCTCTCAATAGCTCGGTTTACAATTGCAATTAGATGGCTGGAAGGCTGCTTAGTCACTGCTGGGAGGGGAAGCCGGGTCAGCTGAGCTGCCAACAGAAGGACTTTAATGACTTAAGTGCTTTTGCTGTAACCTTGGAGGACGAATTGTCTGCAGCTACAGAGGTCAGCGGGGCATTTTGTAAAGCTCATTTACTGCATTTTTGAAATTTTTATATACTTGAAAGAACCGAGGTGGGCCACAGATTTAATGATGTAATACTCTACTGCAATAACAATACACATTATACTGTGAGGGAAATAAAAGGAAAAAGCAATTAGGATTACTACATTTATATATAGGGGTGCACATTTTGAATTATTGTAAAAGGTAAAGTTTTTTTAAATTTCTGCCATGACTTTCACATTCAAGCTTTAATACTTTCATGAATGTAATTCCTTATTACTCAGCAGACTTGCTGAATGATTGCAGAGATAGTCAATTATAAGACACGCTGCATAGAAAGTGTATTTTTGGGTGTAGATCTTCCTGTAGATAAGAGGCAGTGGCACCACAATGAAGAAAGTACAGCATGTGTGTAAAGAACAAACATGGCCTCCGGGCACATATGTAATTAAACTAGTATATATAAAGAAAAATGTTCTCAAAACAATAACATACACTGATAAGTACATCCAAGAAGCTCCCGGCAGGCCATGTATACACAGCGGCTGGCCGGGAGGTAGTTAAACTAGGTTGGTCGCATACATTTGTAAAGCACCACAAAACAAAAACAAATCATTTAGGGTCTATTGACAATTGCGCATTCTGGCAACCTGTGGCAAAATGTGCATGTTGCATCATGGGAGTTCTGACTTAGGCAAGTAAAGCTGGTTCTTAATGAACTGTCCGAAATTTGCTCAGTGTGTGGCCCTGTCTGCTGGCTCCTGCCCAAGATCTTTCAATTGAAGCCGTGTGAAAAATGGTTGGCCAAATAGTACATGCATCCAATCAGATGAAGGAATTGTTTAGGAATTCTGAGAGCCAGCGGTACAGACAGTCAAAACACAATAGCCGCAGAGGAAAATTCCTCTGCAGATGGTGGAACCAGTTTATTTAGAAAAAGAAAAATCTAATGGTGTATTCCCCCAAAGGAGGGACGGGTCTACTAGTGTTCCCCCATCATCAACTGTAGGAGGGTCAGGGACCTTCCATGGAAGGAGAACTAGGGTGACAACACTCACTGTGTCAGGACAACAAAAACAGAACACGACTACTGGAACCTCCCCCTTGCCCTTTTGTTTCCAACATAGATTGGGGGGGGGAGGCTATTGTCACAGAACGTTATCAGCTGGATAGATCAACAGGTATTTTGCACTCGTCAAACTGATATACCACAGACCAAAAAAATCTGAGAATATTCATTGTTCAGGTTTACATACACTTTACAAATATGGAAGGAGTATAAACTAAATGCTTACTGTATACATATGGTGCCATTTACCAGACTTGGGGGCTACACATACTAATCACAAGAGCAAGTTCAAGACAGCAACATCCTCCAACTTTCTAAAGAACCCGGAAATAAAACTGAACTACTGGCTCAAGCATGAGCTCCCTTCCAGCCAAAATGAATGCTTGTTTACTTAGAAGTTAGGATAATAATATTTAGTCTTAAGAAGGACAGATGCCGAGATAAAACAGTTCCCATCTCCACAGTGGGCCCCTCAAAACTGCTCAGGTACAGCATGCAGGCAAACAGGATTACGTACTATGCACCCAGACACTCGTGTATGACAAGGCTGTCTAGTGTTCGAGATTATCTGTGCAGAGGGTGTTCATAGACACCCTCATAGGAATTACAAGTCATGCAAACTTTCATTGAGGTTGGTGCCATTGCATGTGATGATCATGAAACCTTTTAAAATCACCTTGTAAAAAAACTGCATTAAGTACTTCGAAGTGTTAAAAATCATATCCCTTGGTGGTAATTTGCGTGCTACCTATTGGTGTTCCAGGTTTTGTTTTTGTTCTCTCACCTTTGATGAAAGATCTACAATTTGCCAAGGTTCACAAAGATGGCAGGTTACCCTAAACCACAACTTCAACTCCTGCCTAAAACAATTCCTCATAAGAATGGCATTCATCTCACCGATATTACTCCAGTACACTGAAAGACTTCTGCAACCATGATTAAAAGGAGAACTATGGGGTTAAGGCTTTTCCTATGGGGTTAAGGCAGTAGCTCGCGGTATACTGAGACGCCGCAGTTGAAGCGGATCCCAACAATTATGTCTGGATCCGCCCAGCTGTGTGAGTGACAGCTGGCTCTGCCTCTAGGTAGACCTCCCGATCTACTGTAGATGTACAATATTGTGGTAAAAATGTGTGAAGTCATAAAATAAAGTCAAATGCGTGTGTAGACTGTGATAAAAATAAAGAACATGTATATAAAAACCAAAATATACACGCTATATAATATTGTGTGTGTGTGTGTGTGTGTGTGTGTGTGTGTGTGTGTGTGTGTGTGTGTGTGTGTGTGTGTGTGTGCGTGTATTTTTTTTTTTCTATACATACATACATACATACACACACACACACACACACACACACACACACACACACACAACACATTTCAATGAGAATATTTTTGGTATTAAAAGAAAAACAAACTTGGACAGATACGTCACACAAGCCTGCATTTAAAAAGGGATGTGCAATTATACGTGAAACTACAAAAAACTTAGAGACATTAAGATAAGTATTTTTAAAGTTGAATTCTACCTTTGCAGGTTAACAACGGCTTTATATTTGTTACATGTTCTCATTCCCATAGCAGAACTTTAAAAAAAAAAAAAACATTTTTCTGAAAACTCTAAAACTACATAACAGGAGGAAACTTTTAATGTTGAAGTGAAATAAAAAAAAAAGGCAAAAACTTTTTTCCCTCCCCCCAATGTTAATGAAAGCACTTACCTTAAATGATGATGTCCTTGCTGGCACTTCCTGTCCCACGGTGTCTGCATGTGGGTGCACGCCGTCCATATCCTTACCTTGTGTCTCTCCTTGTCTCTCGGCCGAAAATCCGAACTGCGCATGCGCGCCGCCCCAAGATGCTTTGAGGCCGCCCGAGCATTTTAGGATGGGAGCGCGCGGCGAAGACACAGAAGTAAGTTTAAACGGCTTTTAAAGCGTTTTGTTTTTTTAAAAAACAAACGTTTTGTATATATCTACTGCTTGCTAGCAGTAGATGTATGCAAAAAATCGTGAGGGTTTAGAAGGAGGGGGCTGAGGAGTTGTGTTACCATAATTAATCCTGGCTGTACTGTGCTGGCAGGCCTTCATTGTCAAATTGTAAGAGAGATATGCACACGGTCTTTAACAAAGGGTTAAAGATCTCCAGGCTTGGGTGGTACATTGTACGCTAATGACCTTATAAACCAATCCGTCCCTAAAGCTATATTGAGCAATACAAGCTGCCTATAGTGTCCTGTGTATAATCCTGAACTAGGGGTCCAGAAAAGCAAGAATTTGTATTATTATTATACTTTGAGATATGGGGTGTGAATGGGAACACAAACATAGTGGGGGTTCTTAAAATTAGTATATCATCATTCCACATTCAAGCTTTGCAGTGCCAGCCTGTTGACTAGTCAGTCAGTCAACTCAATGAAAACAAAGCACTTCTGGTTTGGCCATGTTAAAGCAGAACACCAGGGAAAAGTATTCTCAACCCTTGCAGTGGGTGTACTTCCGCACTGCAAGAGTTAGGTCCTCATTTTTGTCTAGGTTCAAAAATAACCGTTATATTCGCCTGATCCTCCGAGCCGGCTTCCTCCTAGACCGGTCTTTACACCCGTTTCCTCCTCTGTTGCAGCAATAGTATGTCCCGAGGCATCCTCAAATCCTTTACACAGTGTATTGAATGTGATGACTCACAGGATCCTAGACCACTGCAGCAGAGAAGACAGGCGGATGAGACTGGTCTAAGAGCAAACTGGCTCTGAGGATTGGGTGAGGGGATAGCCCCACTGCAAGGGTTAAGAATAATTTCCCCCGGAATTTTGCTATAACAATACATCTTCACAGCTGTTAAAGTGTATGTAAAGCCAAACCCTTTAAAGTTCTGGATAGAATGAAGGAGGGTTGGAACCTCTGTCAGGTTTGCATTGCTGTCGGTGTAGACTGGCCCTGGTAACCATTATCTCCAGTACAGAAAGTGATGGAACACTCGAAATGTCATTTGTAAATGTTCATAGAATCATACAAAGTTTACACTCAAATATTTTCTTCCATGTAGTGAACGGATATGCAGTTCAGTGAGCGAGGCACTGAAATGTCGTCTCTGGCTTTCCCCTTCAAATACATTATGCTGACACACAGCACAGCAAGGGAAGCTCCTGTTGCATCATGGGAGCCATGTTGTTTTCATAGATCAGACCATGCCGAGTAGAAACAGTGACCAGACTTTTTTTTTCTTCTTGAATGCATCTTTTAAGCATTGTGCGCATAATACATATGGTAAGTGTGTTTTCACGGAAAAGACGTGGTTGTCATTACTGACAAACACTGAGGTTCTGTCCACGTGGGAGACAAACGCTGCTTAGGCCCCATTCACACCTAGATGTTTTGCAGCTCAAACACTCACAACACAAGGAATCCCATTGTTTTCAATGGCCCCTGTTCACACTTGTGCGGTCTGTCACTTGTAGTAAAATGGCTGCAGCTTGAGAAAGTACATGAGCTACTTTTCAGGCAGATATGAACATTTTTGTCCCCATAGGCTTCAACAGAAATCCCCTAAAATGTGCATGCGCA